GGACATTTCTACCCCATTTAGAGATGATAATAGGCAAAGCTTCCAGAATGTTGGGATTTATTCTGCGAAATACAAAGGTATTTCGCAGTAGTCGTCCAAAAATATTACTGTTTAACAGCCTCGTACGCAGTATTTTGGATTACTGTAGTGTTGTGTGGAGGCCTCATTTTGCTACACACTCACTTAGACTGGAAAGAATACAGAAGCGATTTATGTGGCATTTGGCTAAAAATAGTAAAAAAACAACATCGTACAAAAGTAAATTAACGTTACATCGAATGATATCACTAAGCAGTCGTAGGGAAATCACTGACTGCTTATTCATGTATAAATTAATAAATAACATAATAGATTGCCCAACCCTTCTGAAAAAAGTCAATTACCGAGTGCCTGCCAAATACCCGCGTAACCGTATCGCGCTTCTGTATCCACCTCGTCGCAGGACTGTCTTGGGCGCTAATTCTCCATTACCAAGGCTGAGTAGATTGCTAAACGACTGCAGTGACTTAGTGGATATTCACGCGTCATCGTTGGTTGGGTTCCGGTCTGCGCTGTTGAAGCACTTATCAACAAAGAGTTGACTGATGGTGTCTAAATCTACGAGTGTATAAAAGTCGTTACCACACGCATGAGAAAAATTTACTGTTTTTTTTTTATATTGTTTCTTTTGTTACTGTTTTCGTGTTTAAAATTAATTTCATATACTTAGTTTTCTTAAAAAATCATATCAAGTTTGTTTTAGATGTAGGATAATAATTTTGTAAATGCTGTATTTACCTATAAGTGTTTGTTACACTTACTGTTAAGAACTCACATTTGTATCTCGACAATTGTATTGGTGTAAACAAATGTTGGTAAATCATAAATAAATAAAATAAAATAAAATAAAATATTTAGATTCTTATAAGGTACGTTATAAGTTTACTATTATTACGTCTCAGATATAGGTACGAATGTTTTATAAAGTCATCTAGTTTGTGGTTTGAAAGTAATTGATTCACAACTTGCTATGGAGACGGTATTATGGCAACCGCCGCATTCAAGCTACGTTTATGTAATCGTACATCGAACTTTATAAAGGGTGTCAATCTCTTTTTATCTTATAATCTCTTTAAATCGCAATTTCTCTTTCATGATCCCGCGTTCCTAAGCTAGCTAATGTTGTATCGTTGAAATATAGTTTTTGGTTTATTTATTAACAGAAATGGTTTTATTCAATATGTTGCTTTTGTTTTATCTGAGGAAATTTCATTAATACCTAGTTCATTTTGCAGTTATACACGTGTAACATATGATACAATATACGACGACGGCGACGATTCGATTTGTTAGGTTATATTATGGTATCATAAGTATCGAGTAACATAACGATATGATAGTAACGAGTAGGTACTCATTTTAAAGTAACGAATATATTTGCTCATCGAATTCATTTTAAATCGCTTTTACGCTATAAGAACATAATTGGCTGATTACTTACTTACTTCATCACATTTGTGTAGAATTTGTTCTTCTATCACCACAGAATATAATTATAAACGTTGTGCAAAACCAATAAATTATAAAGAATACCTACATTAATATTAAGTCTATATTACTGTAGCATATTACATTTGATTAGCAAAGAAATCAATCAGTGCTTAACTTTTATTAAAATGTAAATGTTATAATTATGTACAAGTTAAATCCAGCCTTACATTCTAGCAGCATTTGAAATTATACCAATATAACTTATAATTTTAAAGTTGATTTTTAAAACACAAGGCAATTTTGTTAGGCTTAGAAAAGTTTTTAATAAACAAGAAGTGTACCCACATATTTCATACCACAACATATAGAGGTATAACCTACCCAATGTAACCACATGGTTTCATAAATATAATATCTATGCTAAATAAGATATTACACAAAATGGTGGACAAACTAATAACATGTTTCGCTTAAACTCAGTGACTGTAACTGATATGATCGCGATAAACTGTTCTAGATTTGTAGTTAGATTATGTTTTGAATGTGTGAAAAGGGTATATAGAAAAATGTATGTACCCAGGTGCTCGGACGGTTAATATCCTGGTACATTTTGTATTAGGTTGTGGATCGTGCATATTGTAACTACCTACTTTTGATTACCTATTTAAAACAACTAAAACTATGACATAGGTCTTATCCTGTTTTTCTTACTTACCGTTCTTTTGTATAGGATATTGGGGCAAAAGAGCTCTACCCGTGGATACATCATCATCACACCTTTTATTAGAGGTGCATATTATCACAGTACTTAATGCCACTGTCCAATGTAACACCCACGGTTCACTATTTATGTTATTAGTCCCATGTAATAGGGGTGAGCCTATTGCCATATACCGGGCACAATTCCAGACTCCATGCTACTGCTGAGAATGTTTTTTAAATCCAGTAATACTTTGTCCAAGGAATCCAACCTTAAATCCTTTGCCCGGCAGTCGCACTAGCGTTCGCTCAGCCAAGGAAGCAGTCTGATACCAAAATAAGAAATAAATGATCGTATCTTCGAAGAAGTTGGCTAAAAGAGAAAATATAATTGCGTGATTGTCTTCAAAAAGTCCGCATTTAAATATTATTATACAGTTTCTTAAACTGTCAAACACCAAGCGGTCACCGGTGACCGCAGCCTATTGTTCTATAATTGTGTCTACAAAACCGGTACTCGACGAGTTAAATTACTGAAGCTCTACAAAATTGTCCATAACAAAGAAAGTAAAGAAACAGCCATTATCTGTTGCAATTATTATCGTAACCGGTTAATCCGTTTTAATGTGAAAGCATATCAAAACGCATTATATTCTTACAATTATAGTAACATCGTATCTGTAACATTTATCTATTGTTTCTTTAAAAACTACCTATTGCTTCTCATTTCTAATTTTGAGACTGTTATGATGAAAATGATAACAGTAGCTGTACCGCTTTAAAAAAGAGATCTCAAAATCGGTAAAAAAGAAAACCAAAAAGGTAAACAGAAAAAAGTAAGTATTATAAAGTTTTTCTCTTTGGAAATGCCAACTTTAACTAATTTTTGTATATAGGTAGGTATCTAGTTCTTCCTTTCCTACGTGTTTACACAAACATAGGTGTAACATTAAACCATGAGAAACATGAAGCAACCTCATCCACAATTACAAGTCACAAGTCATAACACCTATGGAATTATGTCGGAATACCAGCCATATTAAATGGTAGACTTGGACTGATGGTGAATGAGTACTCCATAATTAGCATACGCCATAACATGCACCGTTAAATGAACACTTTCCCTGCTCCACGCACCAATTGTTGAAGGCACCTGATTCGCTTCATATTGGTCAACGTCTACCTAGCTGGGTAAGTACGTAAGGTTGCATTATACATATTTCCTTCAATTTTATAGCTAATTAAACAAGTCTCTGAATTTATGATTCGATGTTTAGTAATGTGTTTGTAAAGGAAAACATAGCTTTTGATTTTCCGTGAGTAAGTCGAGTTTTCTTAGGATATGTAAAAACAGTTGTAACACACATTGTAAGAGATGGCATTTATATCAGGTAAAATACTTCAGCATATAACCTAAGTTCTGATTACCTATACCTAGTCATCTTTCTCTCCTATTAATCTTTTCTGATTACTGTATTTCGTTGCGGGATCCGAGACAGTTATTCATGTCCCTATGACGCGCTGGACTACAGTGTTCCAGTGTTTTCATGGTAGTATCTACTGGAGATCCTGGCCTATAGGAGTTGCAGCGGTTTTGGGAGGTTGTGACGGGCTTGTCCCATACCTATGTGACGTCCATTCTAGTGGCCTAGTCTAGTTTAATAGTAATCTTGCTCGGTCCTTTAGTGAAAAGGCTAAAAGTGCTATACCTCTATGTCTTTACTAAATATATAAGCGCTGCCCATCTCTTTGGATATTTTTGGTAAGATTAGGAAAAAGTGAAACAACAAACAAAAATACCAAGGTCATAATTAAGGGCCTCCATGATCCCGTTAAAGTCTAATTGTAAAAATAATCAGGTTTAATCCAGTCAAGGTTTATGTTCTGTGCGTGCTACCTACCTACATAGTACCTACAACAGTTATGTACCATTGAATGAGTATTGCGTATGAATCACTGGGTCCAAACAATAGCTATTATAGGTACATAGGTATAACAAGGATTTGTCAATATCTTCAATAGTTAAAAAAAACAAAGCAATTTGTTTTAAAAAATCAGCCGATTCACAGTAAAAAAAACGACAATTCCAAAATTATACCTATCAATTACTTACATTCTAGAATCTAGAACTAGACCAGTCATCTATACACACAAGGAAAATAAAAACTTAGGTACATATCTACGTATAGGACCTTAATCTAAATAAATAATAATACATAGTGTCCACCAGTATGACAAGTTACATTCAATACTCAAGGCCGGCCTAGTAACTAGAGCAGCTTTATGCCAAACTAAGGTCAGCCTTACAGGTTTAAATATCTTGAATATCTAAATTACATACGGAGATTAAAACCTTATTAGATGAACTGTCATGTCATCGCAAATCATGGCCAGCAAAAACTTAATTTGAATTTAGAACAACAAAAAAGAAAATTGATTTCTTTGTTATAGTCTGTTGATAAAATGATTTTATCACAGACTCTAATTAATATTTTGTTACTGTTTTATTGATGATTTCTCATATATTATTATGTTTCAGTTAAGCTAATAAATTACCATTTTTATTTTAGGAAACGCTTTTACATGTTACCTAATTGTAAACATACCTACAATAATCTTACATAAGTTAATTCATTAATTGAACTTCCTGCATTTATCAATTAATAATGAAAGTTATTGCAATTTAATTACATTCATAAGTCAATCAATTTAATTGCATTCTTGCACTGTTTGCTGCATGAATTAGAACATTGTACCTACCTAGTCTTATTTTGTATTGTCGTTCAATATTTTTAAGTAACTTTGTTGTTATTTAATAATTTTCTACTTACGGAATCAGCTGATATAGCGCTGTCACTAAACGAAATACCGAAAACGCAGAGGCAACACAGGAGTCCACTGATTTTACGAACCATTTTCACAAACACAAAATAATTTTAATTTTAAAATAAACAAAATAAAATGCGCTATCAAAATTCGCTCTTAATTTTTTTTTAAATCGAGCTTGTTAATTTTATTCCAAATTCAATATTATGTTGTTTTTTCTTTTTAGCCAGTGTTAACGGCGTGCGGCGAAAGGTGCGCGGCCGGTCGCGGTATGGAACGTAACTCGCGAATGTGACGATTTTTGAAAGGCCCGCGTAGGAGGGTTTCGCGCCGATTTCTGCGCTGCGTTCCGTTTCATTCATTCTATGTTGTAAGCTGACATAGGTCCCGCTTTGTGAGTGCTATTTTTAAATGTAGTTTCGAATTGCTTCATATCGCGTATAAGTCAAAACTATGTTATTACCCAGTTTCTAAATTAATGACCGTAATTAATTTTGAATTTACTTCATACCTATATTTTATTACGTACATACCTAACACCGATAGTTACGTTTTAATCCTACTAGGTTTTCCTCCGCCTCTTATAAAACTTAATAAAAACCGTTATACCTAATGTCTAAAATACAAAAGTAATTGTTGAATAATAAATTATAACTGCTTTTACATAATAGTCAAAGCATTTTATTTCTGGTTACTGATTTACAGTAATCTTAACAAGATGAGAAAATCGATTAAGTCTGGCCACTTGCGTAACATATTGATAATAATTAACAAGCTTAATAATTTACCGCTTCTTGAATACAACTTGTTTTGTACTTCACTAAATTTATTTAATTTATTAATTTTAATTCTCTATAAAATTTTTGTTTCTAATGACAAATTCTGATTAAAAATAAAAACGATAAAAAAAACACGAATGAAATCTAGCAGCAAAATAGTAGTCATGTGACTTTGAAATATATAAAATGTTGTAGGCGCTCCTATGTTGTGGTCTTAAGGTTCATAATTTGTATGCTCTGTCGGTACTATTTTTATATGTAACTAAAAACCTACTAATCATATAGTATTTTTTTTTTAATTGTAATAGTTTTTATACTTGCCATTATTTACCTATATCACGATAGTCACGTTAATAAACAGTTTACATTGCTACTTATCATTTAACTCGTCGAGTACCGTCATTATAGACACAGTTATAGAACAATAGGTTGCGGTCACCGGTGACCGCTTAGTGTTTGACAGTTTAAAATATAAAAATTGTACTACCTACAAATTTATAACTACCTAGCTTCTGCATCTGCATTTAAACATAAATTATGGTAGAGTGTAGAGCCTACGCCATATATTGTAAACTATACTTAACCTATCACTTTGCCATACCTTGCAATCCGCTCAGTGGTTTTGCATATGTACGTAAAGTTACAAATGTCCACATACCCATATAAACTTTTACATATTCTACAACAGTCTTAACTGATGTCTAAGTTTATTGTTTCAGTTCCCAGGCTTACTTTCTCCGAATCGTAATAAATCGTGCCTAATGCAATTTGATCTAGAATCACCTGGCACTCTGCCCAAACCGTTAATATTGATAGGTAGGTACTTATGGGTAAAGCTTTTTATCTTAGGCTTGGCTATCGTTACTAAGTAGTGTTGGATATTTTAACTCGACATAGTTACTGTCATATCTCTGTACATTCTAATAAATTGGTATCCTAACTCACCTACCGCCTGACGAAGGTCCTCATCTGACTTAGAAGTTTCGGGAGGTACCTGTCTGTGTCTGATGGGGCGGGGGGAATCGCCCGGGTGTCATCACTGCGAGGACCACCCTGAAGACACGGTGGAACACACTGTAGCGGAATGCCCTGCGTGTGCTGAGCACAGCCGTGCCCTCAGGGACGTGATCGGCGAGTGCGATGTCTCGCGTCCGGCCCAAGTGCGGGTCATGATGCGGAGCGACGGGGACTGGGATGCCGTCTTCTCTTTTTGCGAAGCAGTCATGCTAGCTAAGGAGGAGGCGGGACGCTTGAGGCAGCGAAGCGCTGCCTCCTCGCAACACAGCCATCGCGAAGGACACTCCGGACGTCGGGGATCGCGGGATGATCTCCGGCCACCGTAAGCGCGGGCCTGCGCCACCCATGCTCGCCGTCCGACCAGACCCGATCGTACGGCGCATCGCGTTCCGCGCGCGACTCAAAGAGCTATCAGACCACCACGGATGGGGACCAATAGGGCTGATGCCGATTCGGAGCCGTAGATAACCGCCTGAAGCTGCCACCGGGCTCGAAGTGCAGGAGAAGGAATGGGGTGGTTTTTAGTCAGTAAGAGTCTGACACGCCCTCCCGCCTCACCCAGACGGGAGCAGTCATTCGGAGATTTTGAATGATTGGGAAGACTGGGGAAGGCGGGTAATTAACCTACGGTAACCCATTCACATGTCGGTTTTCTGTGAAGCCGTGCTTGATAAGTTTGTTGTTGAGGGTAACAATATCTTAACGAGTTTGATGAATTTTAAAATAAGAAATAGCTGTTCTGTTTTACGTTAGGTACTTATGTATGCATTGACACAATAAAACTAAAGCCTAGTTACTGCTTGCATTAGGCGGCCACTCTGTACATATTTAATAAAGATATGACAACGGAGATAATATTTTATTTACAACGTGCAATATTAAATATAAATCAACATTGGGCTGGAAAGGAACTATGAAAATACCATGATACCCGATGCAAACTGACGCGCCTAATTTCCAGCAATTGAGTTCAATAAAAAATAATAAAAATATATTATACTAAATGACAATGACTTCGTGTCACTTTAAAGATGCTATAAGTAGTAACCTACAAAAAAAATGATTTAATGAAATGTAGGTATCTGGATGTGCCAATGTATGACTCTAAAACCGATGTCCAAACTGCATAAATAAATACCGCACAGAACTTACCCATTAATAGGCAGGTGTCTGGTACCAGCAAACTAGTACGTGAAATATTGGATATGAATCTACTATGACCTACATTTCTCGAATCTAGACACATTAAGCTTGCTCTAAAGACCAATGAACTCGCGTGTTTGCTAACCCTATTAAATATTAATTTATGTTAAAGGTACTATAATTATGCAGCCACTGTTACCACAAAAAACTTCGGCGACCCCTACCATTGAAAAAGATTCAAATGTGAAAAATATAAAATTATCTCAAAACAAACGATCAATTTGTAAAATATTTTTTTGGCCATAAAATAATAATCTTAATTCTTTTAGGGTTTAAAATAATGTCATAATTTATACAATTTAGATAAGTCTGCAGCAAATTTTATTTTAAAATGTGTTAAACATTAATTAAATTGCACACTTTACAAAGCAAACTGTCTGTGTAAACGTGCGTACGCCTTGCGTTAACCATTTAACTAAACAACAAATATATGATAAATCTCATCTTCAATGATATCTCAATTCAAACTCACTTCTAACTGTCGAGATAAAATACCTAAGTGCTAATCAAACTCGGCGGGAGACAAATTATTCATAGATAACATACAACATTACAAACTCGCATTAGTTGCGTTTGACATAGAGAACGAAACGCGCGTTCTACGTTTGAAAAAGGAAAAAAAATAAAACCGCGGGAAATGTGTTCGAAATGGGACAACGATGAGGTTATCGAGAGATTTAGGGAATATGTAAGAATTCCAAGCGTCCATCCTGACATTGATTATGGTGAGATAAAATTAATTTATAATAATTGTATGTGTCTATAAATAAACTAATCACATAATAACATGTGTACAATGTACATTTATATGACGTTAGAGGTTTGTTTTGTTTTTGTTATCGTAGTGACCAAATCCAGTACTTAATTTCACATCGTTGTTCTGTAGGATTAGAGTGTACCTATAGTATAATTCTTTTTAGTTTGGGAATAGGCCTTTTCTCAGTACCTAATGGAATAGTTACCTATAGCCTGATGATGAAATAAATGCTGTCCAAACTATATATGTACCCTCACGGGCTAATTAAATTTCTTACAAAAGGTGAAAGGCCAGAAAAACGTTTTCAGTTGTATAATGATGTTTAACATTGTATTCTTTAATCACAAACAAAACTTGTAGACAAATCATAAACTGAATTTCATTATTGTTGTTACACAGAAGATGAAGCTGTTGAGATTAAATCGTGTGTCGCAAGCCATATTAAAAAACGTCGTGGGCCTTCTGTTTGGTCAGCCTATTTATTTTTACTTATTTATTTAACTTTATGCAACAAGAGTACATAGGTGGGCTTAATGCCATGGGCATTCTTACTAGCCAACCTTTAGGTGATTCAGTGAGAGCGTGGTCTGTGCAATAAGTTGAAAAGTTAAGAGAATCTAGTAGACCATAATCTACCCCCACTCCAAACATCATCTAGATCGCTTCAGTAACTAGCTTTGTGTGAAAGAGTAACAAACACATACCTACACACACACATACGTCGTCATAAACTTCACATTTATAATGTTAGTCGGAGAAGGAAATGTTTTAAATATAAAATTTTAATAATAATTTGTGATGCAAGTTGTTTCTGATATACAATTTGTATTTATTTTTTCTATAGTGAGACCCGTTTGACGCAATTGCTTTTTACCCGACTGCCAAAGAAGGAGGGTAATGTTTTTCGAGTGTATGTAAGTATGTATGTATGTCTTTTCCTTTGTGACCACCTGTAGCCTAAACGGCTTGATGGATTTTGATGTATGAGGTATCGTTAGATTTGTCTTGATTACGGGAGTGTCATAGGATACATTTTATCCTAAAAGTCCCACGGGATAAAGACATAATAATATTTTTTCTAAATTTCCCTTTAAAAAAATATGTATGCGGTATCATTAGATTCATTTCAATCACGGGAGTAATTAATATAGGATACGTTTTTTCTCAAAATTCCCACGGGAACATGTTAATTCTGCGTCAACGCAAAGCAACTCATGCGTTAGCAAGCAAAAAGATAGGGCGTGGCCTGGCATGCGGCGCGCGGCGCGGTGCGGAGGGGGATATGCTCGAGTATACAGCCCGATTGCGGGCACACGCATGAGGGCACACGTCGTTGACGGTCGTCTCTAAATAGCGATTTTATTCGATATATCCCTATTTGTATATATCGAAATAAAAACAGCTAAAAAGTTATAAATAAAAAAAATATTATTAAAAAAACAAAATACCCGACTGCACACTAAAAAAAGAGTAAAACAAGCCCCACAATAATATTGATCAATCAAATGCTAAAAACTAATTATGTAATACCGT